TAATTTTGTGAAATTTATTTTTATAATCGCTTTTTATTTAATTGTACTAGTATTATTTTTTTCCAATTTGTTTCATATTTAATTTTAATCATAGCTAAATTTAATTTTTTAAAAATAAATTTTATATTCACTATGAATCTTATTTTGTAAATCTTAACAAAATATTTAATATGATATAATTTTTATAACATAATTCGTTTTACAAATTCAATTACGTAGCAAATATATGTTTATATCAAAGTAAAAGGTACTGCATTAAAAATAATGTAATGATAACTTACACGAAATCTGGTATAACAATATTCATTACACTAAAATAGTGCAGTGATTTGGTATTTTCGTTGGAGTGCAATTTTTACGCTAAAATATCAAATTTAGTATTTTAGTGTCTTGGTGGAAGATGCCCTTGCGTGTTAAAAAAAAAAATAAAATCATATTATTGAAGTAAACATGATTATTTTGTTGTGATTTTATTGTCAAAGTGCGAATTTAAATCTCAAGGCACTTCGTGCTGTCTGATATCTCATCTCTGGGCAGAAAGTACCCTATATGATTGGCCAGCAATCAATGCGTTACCGAAGGAATGTTGTTATCTGTGTGCGTATGTGTTTTTTTTTTAATAAAAAAAATTACATATTCTTTTACCTCTCATTCACATTGATTATTTATAGCTTACAATATAATCATAAAAAATAGAAGTAAGTTTATATCGATTAAAAAATTGATTTAGTTAGTACGTAACATACGAAAATATGAGTACACGGTAAATGTCAAGGAGATGTAAAATTTTACAATGTGTATTTTTTACTACTCCCTCCCTCTCATAATTATACTAAAAGTAAAATCTCAAATTGGACAATAATTTTGGGACAGAGGGAGTAATAAACTATCTAGTTTATCATAATAACATTGTCAAAACATTTATTACTAGTTGGCAGTTTCATACAAACTACTAATTTATATGCATTTCGACCCGTGTGTTTGCTATTTCAGATTTTATCAAAGTCATAATGAAAATTTTATTTTTATTATTACTAACTTTAACAAAACAACTATTGATAGTTTTTTTTCTTAATACTGAATGTGCCAAAATATTTTTTCACATTGCATTTCTCCGCAAGAATTGTCACGAAGGTCTAATGTGCGGTGGGATAATCAAAAGGCCCTATGTATTGCTGGCTGGGCAACATATTTGGGCCTCATACCATCTATGAGCAAAGAGCCTAATCTGGCTAATATAAATCACAGGATGCTAAATAACCAAGCATTTCTCAAGAATAACCAACAATTTGATGCTAAATACAATACATTGATACAAACAAAGTGCACAATTTTCTGGGACAGAGCTGAGTTAGAAAGAAGAAGAATCTTCATTCCATTTTGGTTGAGAATTTCGTGACTGGGGTCAGTTATTCTTCTGCTGAGAGGATCCTTGTACGTATTGCTGAAACTTGTCAGATTTAACCCCGTTCTCGATTTCCCTCTTAAGTTCTCAACAATCCTCCGTGTCATGGCCGTGATCCTCGTGATATTCACAATATTGTTGTGTTGATCTATTTGGATTAGGTGCCAAAGGTTTCGGGACTGGTAATTCGTCCTTATAGATCTGGAGGATTTCTCGTTGCGGCTTGGTTAAGGGTGTTAATTGTCTATCCATCTTGGGCAGCGCCGGTTTGTTCTCCATGGGGACTTTTGACTTGTCTCTTAGTCCTACCGACGCAAAAGATTCCTGGGATCTTTTGAGTGTGTGTTCTCGTTGTATGTGGTTCTCGACAATGGCCCACATCTCCCGAGCATTCTTGGGGGGCTTAGTCGAGAGCTTGACTCGCAACATTGAGGATTTTCCAAAGGGGTTAAGGCCTTGGATAAATCCATTGCGAACATCTCGATCATCAATGTTGTCGACCTGCAAGGTTTCTTGTATGAACCGTCTATGGAAGTCGGTGAGACTCTCATGCTGCCCTTGTCTGATTGAGGAGAGGTCAATGGACATTCGCGATATTCGTTTATTCTGGAAGAATCAGGTAGCTAGTTTGACGGACAGATCCTCAAAGCTAATTACACTCCCTTCTGGTAATTGCCCAAACCATCGCTGTGCTGACCCGGCCAAGTAGGAAGGTAGCGCTTTGGCCATAAAATTCATAGTTGCGTTTCGAATTCTCATAACCCGGACATATCCTTGTAGCCATTGGGAGACATCAGTGTCTCCTGAATATGGTTTAAATTCCTTAGGGAAGTTAAAGTCTCGGGGCTTAGGTTCATCTCGAATGTCAGGGATGAAGGGACTTCGGTCTAACCCTATCTCGATGATCTTTCTCATTTCTTCTCAAATCAAGATGTTCTGATCTCTTGCTCCTTGTTAATCTCCCTAGAAGTATGGCGGATTTTCTCTATGCCTGTTATATTGCTGATGTCTGGGAGGCGAGTACCGATGACGGTGATGGTACCCTTGGTTATAATTGCCCTCGATGTTGTTGTAGCCTTGATGTGGTTCGTGGCCAGGTTTATATTCATCTTTTCGAGGACTTCTTCAATTCCAATTAGTTTCCAGGCGGTTGTGTCCGTTAGTTCACCTTGGAGGGTTCCCTTCTTCTCCTTCAATGACCTCGACACTCAGAAAATTGTGATACTCCCGAGTATTTTTACGTCGGTATGTCGCGTTAAATTCTTCGAGGGCCATTTCGAATGCTGGGTATTTCTCTATGAAAGCATTCCAGCATACGGTGTCCCAAGTGGCGTTTGAGCGATCTTCGTGGGGGGGGTTTTCATACCCCTCGACTTCTTGATAATTCTCGTCTTCTTGGACTTTCCGCTTTCGCCGCTTCTTCTCGAGAAGGGCTAGGGTTCTGCGAGCTTCTTTTTCATTGATCAAATCATTCAACTCCTGTTTTGTGGGATCAGGTTTTCTAAGGAGACAACATCGTCTGGTTTCTTCGAGGACATATCTTCGCATCCTCTGTTGCTGATCGCTATCATCTCCTAGCTTCTTAAGTTCAGCCTCGATCTTGGCTAGCTTCTGATCCTCCAAACGCTTTTTGGCAGCATGGGTATTTCGAGGAGAAGGTACATCCTCCTTCTCGGGTGGATGATTGGCTTTGTCTTGTTTCTTCGGATCAGCCTGGGAAGAACCAAGGACCAAGCGTTCTTTTGTTGGTTCTCTTTCAGGCTCTCTGCCATGGCTCTTTCATGCCTTCTTTCTTTCTTGTTCGCGTTGGAATTCGGCCAGGGTGGTATTGTCTCCCGGACTATCCTGTCTGCCGGAAGACGCAGTGCTACTGGTGTCTTCTTCGACCCTAACCATAGTGTTGATTGTTCCTGTAACCCTAGGTCTCACCGGAAGATGTTAAGGAAATCTGAGAAGGTTTCTGTGACACGAACCCAAGTTTTCAGGTCCCACTGGGCGTGCCACTTGACGAAGCTTGGTTTCGCGCCGCCGGTCTAACAGTAGAACTCCGGCTAGGGTTTCCTGCAAAATAGAGCCTCTGGGGTCTCCCGAGAGTAGACACTCCGATGCTTAAGTCAATAAAGGGTTGCTGGAACGTTTAGGTATGTAGTGTGTTAAGCTATAGATTGCGTACCTGTACCAATATGCGATATAGGCATGGAAATCCCCGAGAAGTCTCCGAATCCTACTAGGTTTATGCAACCTAAACCGCCCTAAGAGAGACGGTTGGACTCCTTTCCCGGTTAATGGGCCGGTCTCGGTGATGGATATGGAGACTCGTCAATTCAATCATGAAAACATTTAAAATCTCCTTCTATACTACGATTCTTTTTTTCCCAGTACAAATTGTACTGAAAAAGAAAATTTAAATTCAACAATCATTCTGAGACAAAATAAGTATCTGAAACAGTAAAACTTCAACCTTTTCTTTTTCAAAAGAAATTTTTTCAAAGCCCAAAAGTATAAAACTGTCAAAGTAAAGTTAATGGGAAGGCGGGTACTTGTGGAAGAATGTCGGTATTCAGGAGGACATCCGCCGCGGATGAATGAACCTTCCCTGACGCCAATTCCGACCGGGAGTTCTCTTTGTCGTCGTCGTCCGCTTTGTTTGTTTTGTTTTTTAAATGGTTTTTTCATAATAGCATATGTGTTTTTACATTTCCAATACACTTTTTTATATTCGCAATAAAAAAACATCTAAAAATACACACTAAAAAAACGAAATAAATATTAAGTTCCCTTATGTGTAGTTCCACACTGCGAGAGTTTAATTGAAGTGCAAAAACAGAGGACACCAAATTCAATACTGGTACAGAATACTCCATCAAAGTTACTCAAGTTTTACTACACATAGTGTAATATAGTACTCCCTCCATTTTAAAAATATAAGTCGTTTTAGTATTTTTCAAGTCAAATTAATAACTATTTTTCTAACTTTACTCTCAATAAATAATGTCAATCCATTTTTATTTAGTTTTGTTTATTATTCCAATGTAATTAATAAGGGGTAAAACATATGTTTAACACAGAAATCAATTGTTGAATAATTATCTCCTTAGTATACGTGCAAAGTCTAAAATGACTTACATTTTTATAATGGAGGGAATATAGACAAATTCATCCAAGGGATATTCCTTTTTGTTCTCCGATAGAAAATTGATTGCAATGCTGCTTGGTTCTACCCAATGACATAATTCATCAACATATATGTACGCGTAGGTGTTTCATATCCATAACCAAAAGATAACAACTCGCTCTGCCACAATCATTTTCTGACGACCAAGAGGATAACATTATCCCTGCTAATTTTTCTATATATAGAGAGATGTTCAGATTAATTACTAGTAACAGAAAGAACCACTTAATGAACAAAAAGGAAGAAAAAAACAACTCAATTTATATGGCTTTGCTAGGCTTTCTTTTTCTTTTTTAGCTTCAATGTTTATCCAGCATTTTTGGATACTTTAAAAAATAACAATAATCATAAGATTTCATATATAGCTGGTACACTGTATTATTGACGAGGGTAATCATCAAAAGTAAGATGAGTAGGAAAATGGTTAACTTGAACTTATTGACGGTGTTTATCTCAGCAATAACAATAATACTATCGAGCAATTCAAAATGTGATGCAAAATGTGCATTTGAAGCCATCTTCAACTTCGGAGATTCAAACTCGGACACCGGAGGTTTTTTCGCTGCTTTTCCTCCACAGCCATCTCCATATGGCATGACCTACTTCAACAAACCAGTTGGTCGCCCTTCTGATGGAAGACTCTACTTGGATTTCCTTGGTAATATTAACTATCTTATCTCTCAATTTGAGTTTGTATCGATACCGTTCCGTTACATACCATATATTTCACTTATATCTTTTTTAAGTTCAACAGAGTAAACTATTTTCTTACGACAGAAAAAAAAAATAAAACTAGCAAGATTGTGTTTTTTTGGAGTTGCATGCAGCTCAGGCTTTGGGATTGCCATTTGTGAGCCCATATCTTCAATCAATTGGGTCTGACTACAAACACGGTGCTAACTTTGCAACATCAGCTTCAACAGTTCTCATGCCACCAGAATCCCTCTTTGTTAGTGGGACGAGTCCCTTTTATCTTACCGTTCAGCTTAATCAAATGAAACAATTCAAGGCCAAAGTTGAAGAATTCCACTCTTCTGGTAATTTCTAAGTAGAAAAAAACTTAACTTAGTTTATCCTTTTTTGTCTATTAATTAAGTGAACAATCACTATCAAATTTCAGTACTCACACTTTAGTCTGGACTAATTCATAACAAAACATACTCCCTCCGTCCCATAATTATTGTCCAGTTTGAGTTTTCACTTTTAGTACAATTTAAACTAAAAATGAAAACTCAAATAGGATAATAATTATGGGACGGAGGGAGTAATTATCATTTTAGAACAAAAAAATGCATCAATATCTGACCTTTGTAAGTATGCACTACAAATTTTGTCCCAACCTTGATTCGTAAAATTATTTCTTAATTTTCTTGACGGAGAGAGTACGAAACCATACAAATGAGGCAAGAATATCTATTGAATTTCTGTGTTATATAAACTGTATTTTTCAGGAAGGCACACAAATAATCTTCCACAGCCTGACATATTTGGAAAATCTCTGTACACAATCTACATTGGGCAGAATGATTTCACATCCAACTTAACATCTCTTGGTCTACAAGGAGTAAAGCAGTATCTCCCACAAGTGGTTTCCCAGATTGGTAACACCATTAAGGTTAACCTCTCTATATTTTGGCTCTTGTCTTTTGTTTTGTTTTTTATTTTCTTCTTGATTTTTGTTACTATTACTATATGGAATTATTTAATATTTTCAGCAACTTTATGAACTGGGAGGACGCACATTTATGGTGCTTAATCTTGCACCAATAGGGTGTTACCCAACATTTCTGGTAGAGCTTCCCCATGGAAACACAACTTCTGATATTGATGCTTATGGATGCTTGATTCCTTACAACAATGCAGTGGATGAGTACAATAAAATGCTTAGGGAAACATTGAGGCAACTCAGAAAGGAACTTGTGAATGCAAATGTGGTTTATTTTGACAGCAATTCAGTACTATTGGACATCTTCCAGCACCCAAAATCCCATGGTAATACTGTATGTATACTCTCTCTCTCAGCATCCCAAAATAATTGTCCAGTTTAAATTTTTACACTTCGCACAATTTGTACTGTAAATGAAAATCCAAAATGGACAATCATTTTGAGACGGAGAGAGAGTACGTAATACATGTTCTATGGTTTTGATTCATTTAATTCAACTATTAATGGAAACACCAAATATTTCATATCAGGGATGAAATATGGGACAAAAGCTTGTTGTGGACATGGTGGAGGTGCCTACAATTTCAACCCAAAAGTTTGGTGTGGTTACAGCAATTTCATAAATGGAGAGAAAATCACCGCCAAAGCTTGTAATGATCCACAAAACTATGTAAGCTGGGATGGGATGCACCTCACTGAAGCTGCAAATAAACTGCTCACAAATGCAGTCCTCAACATGAACAATAATAATGGATCATCATACCTTGATCCACCCAGCTTTTCATTTCATCAATTCTGTGATATTCGTCCCATTACAGATTGCTAGAGGCTGATCATGACTATTGAGATTATCTCCTTATAATAAATAATTCAACTACCAATTTTGCCTTTTTATAATTTGTACTAAGTAGATAAAACTCAAAAGGAGCCAATGGTTACATTCTTTTGTTTTTACTACGTTACCACCTATAAGTGTCAACAACAAAACTCGTGTTCATAAAACGTGATAAATGTGCGAGTTACACCTGATTTACACCACCATAGTCATCGGTTATTAATTTTAGTGACAAAGAGAAATCTTCAATTATCAGTATGTATCGTACATTGTTGGTTTAATCATTGCTAGTGTTGATTATCTTGAGCCATTGTATTTTCCAAATTCCCAAAATAAAAAAGATTTCGCAATTTTTGCAAACATGATCCACCAAATCTATTTTACCATGTCCATTTTGGAAGGGAAAAAAAAAAAAAAAAGTGTCACATTTATACTTTGGTAAGTTAAATATGTTCAGTGCGATTGTTCCCAGACACAAGGGGAATGCAAGTACAGATAATGTAAACAGAACATGAACTATTTTTAGAACACTTTTCCTTTTGTCCTGATCTTCTCTGCCCATAAATAGGAAAAAAAATGTTTTTTTTTGCACCAGAGAATGCTCTTTCATACAGTATATATTTCATATCTGTGTATTTAGGGAATCACAGCTATAAAGAAAGAGCAAGAAAAGATGAATCATTCTTCAACAGCACAAACCTTGCTGATTTGGGTATTAGTTTTGATAGCATTTTCAGGAGTGGAATTGGGCGAGGCCAAATGTGAGTTCAAAGGGATCTTCAATTTTGGAGATTCAAACTCAGACACAGGAGGCTTTTGGGCTGCTTTTCCAGCACAGAGTCCTCCTTTTGGGATGACTTACTTCAAGAAACCAGTCGGTCGAGCTACTGATGGAAGACTCATTGTTGATTTCCTTGGTAAAGTTTCCATTTTTTTCTTTTTTTGTCAAACTTAATTTTATTGCAAATTAAAAAGAGGTTTCTTCCATTTTCAACCATGAAAAAATTTTAGTAGTTTCATCGCTGCATTTTTGTAATTGGTGATTAGTGACTTAAATCACTACAATTTTATAATTTGTGATATTTGATTTTTGAAATACGTTGCTGATACCTCGACTGTTGCATTCATATTTATGTTTCGAGTGGGGGTATAGGATATAATTTGTTGTATTTGATACTTCTCGATATCTAAGTTTTGAAGCTTGAATTGCGAGCTAAATAGTGTAAGACATATTTTTTTTGTTTTATAAAATACGAATACGTTGAGTTGAACTATTTTGGGACAGGAAGGAATATATTAGAATTAGATTGGTTCAAATTATTAGGGATCATGTTGGATATTTGAAAATGAATATGAGTGATCACCGAAGACCTCAATCATTGTGCCAATTATTAAACTTCGTGTCGGTTGATATTTCAGCCTCTAAGAAATCCGGGACCAAAAGGATAAAAAAAATTCAAACGGTGACAAAAACCCAAATATTTGCAGCTGGAAAAACTGAAGAAGTATGGAACAAATGTATGTGATCTCATTTAGGAGGTGTACTATAACGAATTTCTTTTGTCTTTCAGTTTTTACTATTTTTAGACAAACTCCAGCAAGACCACATATCCGATGTTTTTTTTTTTTTTTTTTCCTCGTAGCTGCAAGTTTCTTATTATACTATTCTTGCCATATACATCCCTTCTCCGTCTCAAAATGATTTTCATGTATACATGATATAAATATGATTATAATGAGATAATTGTGTGATAATTTTGTTATGGAATTGGCACAAAAATTGTAGCTCAGGCATTAGGGTTGCCCTTTGTGAGTCCATATCTGAAGTCAATAGGATCAGACTTTCGACATGGTGCAAACTTTGCAACATTGGCTTCCACGGTTATGCTGCCAAACACTTCCTTATTTGTCACCGGAATTAGTCCTTTTTCTCTTGCCATTCAGCTCAACCAGTTGAAGCAATTCAAAGTCGAGGTTGATCAGCATTATCATTCTGCTCATGGAACCAAAGGTAGCTGTGATGATTATCAGTATTTGTTCTAATTTGTTAGCAATACAATTTTATTGTTTGCTTCTTGATTGCTCAATGATGTTGAAATCCCACATTTGTAAATGGTTTTTATCACATTTGACTATTGTTTCAGGATCAAAGCTTCCTTCTCCTAGCATATTTGGAAAGTCTCTCTACACATTCTACATTGGCCAGAATGACTTCACCTCTGATTTAGCCTCTCTTGGTGTCAATGGAATTAAAAGCTTTCTACCTAAAGTGGTTTCCCAAATTGCGTATACAATCAAGGTAACAAAAATGATCTTTCCCGCCTGTGATTCTCCGAAATGTGAATTTTTTTTCAGCCTAGTAGTCGACAATAACTGCTTTTCTTGAGTGGAAAATGACATGTATATTGTACTTGGATATCTTGCAGGATATTTACGCCTTGGGAGGGCGAACGTTTCTGGTGCTGAATCTTGCGCCGATTGGATGTTACCCTTCGTTTCTTGTCAGACTCCCTCACAACAGTTCAGATATTGATGAATTTGGATGCATGATCTCCTACAACAATGCAGTTGCTGACTACAATGACATGCTTAAGGAAGCATTGTCAAACATTAGGCCTGATCTTCCTGGTGCATCAGTGGTATATGTTGATACTCATGCTGTGCTGCTTGACCTCTTTCGCCACCCCACTTCACACGGTAAATTAAGTTTCTTTTTTTTTTATTCTCCCTAGAAACCATTGTTTCCCCTCCAAATTGTCAGTTTACAGGAGCATATGCCTAATTTCAAGCTGTTTTGTATTTCATTCCAGGGCTAAAATATGGTACAAAAGCATGTTGTGGACACGGGGGAGGCGCGTACAATTATCACGCACAAGTTTATTGTGGGGAAAGCAAAGTGATCAACGGACAGAAACTAAGTGCAAGGGCTTGTAATGATCCACAGAACTATGTAAGCTGGGATGGAATTCATGCAACAGAAGCAGCAAACAGGCTCACTACTTACGCAATTCTTAATGGTTCTAACTCTGATCCTCCTTTCCCCCTCCACCAGTTCTGTGATTTGCAGCCAATTGGTTGATTTGATTTAATCTTGATCTAATCTACTGCTTCATGTCAACTCAATTGCAAATGAATCATATGGAAAATCAATCGAATCCTGTTTCTGAAATGTTGGGAAATAATACTGCAAATGCAGCTTTCATGATTTGATACTACAATATTTTTTTTTTTTCGAGTTACAGTTTCCATGTTTGGTTTGTGTTACTTGTAAAAATCTTGCTCACCACTCATGTAACCTTTTCAGTTTAGGTTTGGGCAGTGCTTAGTTTCGTGGCAAAACTTGACACCAATGATTACTAATGGGTTGATTGTCTGATCTTATCTGATCTAATCTGCCTCTTGTTACTCGTATGCAAATTGAAGAATAAGAAAACCAATCAACTCAAGAGATTTGACTGCATTTTGAGATCCATCCTTTCAATTGGCAGCAGTCAATTACATCCGTAAGCTTCATGAAATTGGACATTTTGGATTGACTTCTAGAACTGTTGATGATGATAATCTGTCTTTGTATCATAAAGTGATAACCAAATGGACTTGAAATGGACCTCTCTCATTGTTCTGGTGCTTAAGAGGACAACTCAGTTCCCTTTGAACACACAAGCGCATTTTCACACTCAAAAGGATACATCAGTCATCATCACTGATGACTGATTGCCCCCATTAAGTCATTACTTGGGAGATTGGTTGCAGTTGATATGTTCACACATGGCCTTAAAAACACTCATAATTCAGCGTTTTTAACTTAGAAATGGACTATTAAAATTGGACGGAAAAAAGAATACAAGTTCATGCATCCAACAGGGATGCCATCCAGGGCTCAAAAACAGTGGTGAGGTGAGGAAACATACTTAAATGAGAAGCTGGTGGTACAGCTGATTAATTAAACTGGGAGAATTGAGACATCAGCAAACTTAAGTTTATGATTTTGAGTGGGGAATCATCTCATGTTTTATACAAATTCAAGTTTCTGTCCCCAAATTTTGTATCTTTTCTTGAAGAAAGCAATGGCTTAACTACCCAATCAGTCAGTGCTTGATGAATTAAGAGCTTGACAATGATGAGACAAATATTCAAATCAACATGCCAACACAATATTCTCAATTGGGGCTGCTTCAAGATTTTATAATCAATTGGGTAGGAGATGATGCTTTGAATTCATCAAGATATGCAATAATGATGCTCTCCTTTTCTCTTAAACAAAGTGTGCCAAAAGTTGGACTATTTGCTCATTTCTTAACAACCACATTAAGATTCCAGACCTCAAATAGTTTAATTCTTTGGTTTCCAACATGCTTGAATTGAAATCTCAACTATCAACCTAACGCAACAAAATGAACAAAATGAATTGAACAAAATGAACAAAGATCAAAACTTGCTTTTTATGAAATCTGATCAATTTCATGAACAAATGGACATTCCCTTTCTACACAAGAAAAAAAGAAGTTAAAAATATGCTATAAGAGAAGAGAAAAACTGATGAAGAAATATTAATCAATGAATTTAAGGAAGATAACTATTCTCTAGAACTGGTTGAGTTCTGATACCTGAAGCAGAAGGCATTCTACTGGAGCCAATCCAAATTGTATCTAATGCCTCACCTTTTTCAGATTGTCTCTCCATCTTTCCTATCTTCCTCACCCTAATGAATTTGTACAAAACAATCCCAAATACAACCGAAATAATCAAACAACAAATTCCTACTCCAAATCCAATCACCCACCATCTCCAGTACCTATTATTAACTTTCTTCTCAACCTTCCTGCCTGGTGGTGAAGAAGGAGGCAGAGGCAAAGATGGAATCGCAATGGAGAAATGGCCTTGACCATTTGCTACACATTTGTTATCCATTGTCACATTGCTAAACTCTACCACTTCTCCATTCATCCCAGAAAACTTAACGCATTTCGCCGTTGAACCATTATACCTTGTACCATCAAGCTGCGGAAAATGGACTAAAACAGGATCCTTCAGGGGAATAAGCTCAACTTGACTTCCTGGATCGTTTAAGCTGAAATTTGCATCATATGCTGATAAGCCTAAAACCGGCGCAACTAGCGTATGATTCGGGACGCTGTAATAAACTGCAGACTGATTTCCAAGGTCTTGGAAGACAAGAATTACTCTTTCTGAATAAGGGTGTGGCCGTATCCTTGGAGGGATTTCAAAGGAACTCAAGTTCCCTCCTCCATACCTCCATAAACTCCCGCTTCTGAGGCGAATCGCCGTAGCTTTTACACCTGAATAATTTGCATCATTAGGCAGAGTTAAGTTGTACAGAACACCTGTTTTGAACTTATCTTCCCTTGTGGTCAGCATCCTCAATGCATTATCACGAATGGAAGAGTCTAATGAATCCGGGTTGTGAGTAATATTATCTTCTCCATGAACAAAAGAAGGGCTTATCATCATCATCATCATCAAATTCAACATGATGAAATGATGAACAAAGATCATACAGATGATGAGGTTCCAAATATTGTTGTATTTAGACCCCATCAAACCACATCAGCTGCAATTTGTTACCTCTTCTTCTTCTTTCTTCTTCTTCTTCTACATGCCATTGATCATCATCATCATCCTCATGCAACAATATTCACGTGAAAAATGGAAAAAGTCCTCCGAGAAATCATCTTAAAACCCGGCTGAAAAAGGCTGGAAATACACATCAATCTCGCGTTCCTGTCATGACTAACTTTTTTTTCTTTTGTATATGTCGGCAATGGCAGCCTCTCCCTCTTCAAATAATCCTAGAGTTTCTCTTCTGAATTGACGGAAATGATCATGTAACGCATGAAATGATTATCAAACTTACACAAGAAAGAAAAGAAAAGAAGATGGGACTAATCAAAATAAAGCCAGGATCAGCTAAGAATGAAATTGGCCATATTGCTTAATAAAAAAGGACTAATCTTGACATAAGAGATGATGACGATGATGATCAGTTGGATGTTTGATCACAGGGAAATGGAGTTGGTTTTTATTTCGATGATTAGGATTTTATGGAATCTTTATTAGTATAATAAGAGGGACTTTAGGTGGTGGTTGTATTGGAATATTCTAGCATTGGGAGAGCTATCACAAGAAGAAGAAGAAAGATGAAAAAATTTGACTTAATTATATTGAGAATCAAATTGTAACGCCAAAAGGGAAAAGGGGAGCTATAGCCCCTTTTGAGTTGTTCTACGGTGTAAACCAAATTATTTTAATCAGATTATGTTGGTTGGATTAGTTGGACTATTCCAAATTCACATACACACACAGAGATACATAGAAGAAGGAAGTTAAGAAAACAAATTCATATATAGTTACGTTTATTCATGTCATATTATATGGCTAAAACAGGAATACTTCTTCCGCCCTCGAAAAAAAATAAAATAAAATTCTTTGATGAATTATGTATAGTATACATCATTCTTTTTAAGACGGAAGGAATACTAATCATTTCGTTATATAATTTTTTATGCATACAAGTTCAGAAAAATATTAGGTATTTGACAGAGGATGCCAACTAGGTCTTAGCTTTGTGTTATGGGTGGAAGAATTCCTTTTAGCTAAGATGGCCAAGCCGTGTACTCCAAACTTTGTACATAAGTTGCTCAGCTTAGGCTGGTTTTCCATGGGAGAAAAAAGCCCTTTTGGCCTTTCTATTTGTTTTTCCAAATAGATAATAGTTTTGTGTATAACTTTTGAGGAGGGGGCTACAAATATACATCATCATTCTCGGCACAACAGGAGGGGGAATCATTAAAGTATCGGGCTTTTTACATGTACATAGATCGTTATCAAGCATCAAGATTGATATGTAATTCTATTGTGTATTGTTTGTTGTTAAAGAGTACTTCATCATGATGTGATATATTCAACTTTCGTAAACTAATACACTATTTGTCTCAAAATAATTAAGTAAATATGACAATAATTATTTTAAAACAGAAAGAATATATTTAAAAACTATTTGATTATTTGATATACTCCCTCCGTCCTAAAATTATTGTTCAGTTTGAGATTTTACTTTTAGTACGATTTCAACTAAAAATAAAAACCCAAACTGGACAATGATTTTGGGACGGAGGGAGTAGTACTTGTTGCATGAAGTGAAACTCTCATATTATTAGATCAAATTCATTTAAACTTATAATATTATAAATTGATAATATATTATCTGGTAAATTTGTATCAACGGTGCGTTATTGGTTCTTATATTAATCTTATTGTTTGCACTTTTCGTGTGTAACCTCATCTTGATTATCCAAGAATGATTGCTATTGGACTATATGTTGGAGTATAAAAATTAGATGGGTAGGTCTCAACTCTCAATCATCATGGCTGGCAAATGGCAATAGATGTAACACTTGGAAGATTTTGTTCACATAATTTCTTAATCAGTATTCTGTACTATCACCTAGTCATACTTCCACATTACAATTCACTAAAATCAATAAATAAGAGGACTTGAAAGAACATAAATTAAGGTGGAATAAGAAAGAAAGAAAAAGAAGTGAAATGATTCCAAATCACGACATTTGCCGTTTGCATTTTCTTTTGTTCAGAAGAATAAATTCCTGTGACTACAAATATGTTGTTCAATTCGCCCGATGGGATGAAGAGAATTTCAGGGTCAAATAATTATTTTTTTTAAGCATTCAAAGAGAGGTGATCCTTTTTAGGTGTTTAATTATTTGGCACTTAATTAATTAAACTGGAATTAAAATAAAATTGACTAGTTTTAACTAAGTGGCTGGCTTTGTTTGTTTGTTTTTTTTTATAGTTTTTTTTTCAGTTTATTTTATTAATAACTGTCCCATCGTAGCATACTCTTCTATATTTCTAACACACGTTTTTACATTCCCAATATAAAAAAACACCTAAAAATACACACTAAAAAAAACGAACCAAACATAGTTAGACGATTGATTGATTCGATTCCTGTTTTCTGTTAAATTAAAGAATGATAATGGTCATATTTTAGAGCTGATTTTTTTGTCTAGCAAAACGGTGGAGTTGACCATTTTATATTTATAAATTGAAACTGCAGTTTGTCTGCTTTGTCTGTTTTAATTTAATTTTGTTAATTTTTTTGAAATATAAATTTTTTTATTGATTGATAATGATACTAATGGATTTCGAAGATGTAGATCTTCATAATTAAAAAATAAATAAAAATTAAAAAGTGAATTAGTACAAAACAGATACTTGTTTGAAACAAACAGAAAATCATTGATAGTAGCCATTTTCCACATTATTATAGGAAAACCGTTCTTCTACATCGTACCTTCTTTCCGATATAGACTTTGTGACGATATTCCTATGACATCATAACGTAATCAATAGATTTTACACAATAAAATGAGCTACTACATGTCGCTCATTTCAAGTTTTGTATGAATGCTTATTTTAAATTTTGTGACTTAAATATCAACATTTTCTTACCACACTTTAACAAGTTGTCACCGTAGTTATAAAAATGACTGGCTATATTCTGATGATATCAATTTAGTCCACTTTTCAAATATTAATAAGCGAAATACTAGATTTCTTTTTGAGAATGAAATGGCATAAAATTATCATGTTATAATCGAAATTGAATGACAACCTAGTGATTAGGTTACTGTCTTTTCTGGTGATAGATCAGAGTTCGATTCTCATCAAGAGTTATAAGCGGGAAATTTTACCCACATTTAAGTGGAGTCTACTGGGTTAAAAAATAAAAAAAAATCATGCCATACTAGATCATAGTTAAGGATCATAATTAACAAATGTTGTAATCAGTTTGTCAAACCAATATTTTCTTTGGAAAAGAAAAAAAAAAAAGAAGTTAAAAATATATTTTTTCCTATGTCAAACCAACTAAACCCAACCGGGGGATCCGGTTATAGAATATCCGAATTCGACTTAAAAATTTGAAACGAAGAAGGATTTTGTAGATAGGCAACCAACCAATGAGATCGCACAATAACGCCACGTGGCGAAATTGAAATCAATTCTTCTGAAGAACAAAAAAAATTGTGGATAGAAAGAAATTTGGAGAACAGAAATTAAAAAAGTAAAGCAAAATTGCATATCTATTTTGGGGTTTTCTGGGATCAAAAAGGAAGAAAGAGAGATTGAGTGAAGGATAAAGAAACAAAGGCTACAAGAATTTTTTTTTAGTTATTGTTTTTTTTTCCAGCAGCCCACCAAATGGCAGCAGCAGCCACCACCTCATCCATGGCGGCAACTGCCGTCTTCAGTACAAGACTCACTACTAATTGCTCTGCTTTACCCTATTTGCCTCCTCCTCGCTTGTCTACTTCCTCGGCTTTTTCTTCCATTTCCCTTCGGAAGATTTCAGGTAGTTTTTTTGTTTGTTTATTTGAAGTGGGATTTGGTCAAAATTGATTCCTTTTTATTAAAGTTTGCTTCTTGCATTCATTGATGTTTGACACTTGTGGATGTTGAACATTTCTCTTGTGGTGCTAATTGAACTTTTTTTGTTTGTTTTCTTGAAGAGGGAAAATGTCCAAATGGGTTCTTACTAAGTTGCTAGGGGCAGATGACGCATTGTTTAATGTTTAGCATTTTGCCAATGTTGAACCTTTCTTCCGGTGTTTTTGTTTGTATTTTGAAGTGGGATTTCATCAAAGTTAGTTCTTTCTTCCAGTTAATGTTGGTGGATGCTGTTATGGTTGACATTTGTGAACCTTAAACATTTTGTTCCACCAGGGTTATTGTCTGTTTCCTGAAATTGGCTTTTTGTCAAAACTGATTCTTTCGTAAGTTGCTGGGTAGATGATGATGCTTTGAAGGTGTCGTTTCTTCTCAGTGTTTTCTTGAGTTTTTGTTCAAATTGCTCCTTTTGACATTTGTGATGATAATTGGTATCAAATTGTAATTTTTGCTGATTCCGTGGTTAGATATGGATTTCGCCTTATCTTTGTATTGTTTGGAGAATGCTAAGTATAGACATGCTTGCTGTTGGGTTTGTTAGAAGTAGACGCCTCAAGTTGTGATTCTTCATGAAATTGCTGGGGACTTAATTTATACCCTTAATAAGATTGTGAGACATGTTTTTTGGCACAATGAAGTTCGGATAATATATGAATGGAAGCTGTTTTATGGAGCCTCTAGCTCAGACTATGATTCATATTGTTCTTTTTTAAGTAACCTCAGCTTCATGCACTTGGACATTTTGTTGCACTTCTTTCCCCTTTTATATACAATTGTTTCTAATGGTGCTATGTATTGATTTTACTGGATGGTGAACCTTTCAGTGGATGTTTATTTGAGTTCGATGTGCTTAATAATGTCATATAAACTATTTGTTTTCTTCTAGATGTTTTAGTTCCTCGTCACTAATATATGGTTGAGAATTTGATTAGTTCCTGTTCAAACTTCGATATGAAGGTTTTAAGGTCATGATTTTGATGCCTGGGTTCTATGCTTCCTGATTTGAGGGTCAATAGATTCCATGCATGAAAATGAGTTTCTGTAATAAGAATAATTTTGATATTTGGACTTCCAAATCGATCATTATCTGAATTGCTTAGAATTTTTCAGCTGCCATCTAGTGCAATTCTTTTACACTATAACTTGCGCTTTAATATCAAAATTGGAACTTAAAATAGCCGAAGAACTCATCATTTGTTCCAAATGATACTGCAAAATGAATGAGATGAGTTGAAAGCATGATAACTTGATAAGTTGCAGTTACTCAGAGTAAAATAGTTGCATGGTTCTTTTTCTGTGGAAATTGGATAAGTATAAGCTAACTTAGTCTCCCCAATAAAGTTGCGCTCTTTGCATGATTTTATCCCTTACTTTATCTATTTACCTGTAACAGACGCAAAGAGGACTTCATTGCTACGTGTCAAAGCTTCAGAGGATTCATCTGCAGTTGACACTAGTGAACTACTTTCAGATCTCAAGGAAAAGGTGAGCTTAGCACAGACCATTTTTAGAACAAGAGATCCTTGAACTGCTTTTTGTTCTCAGTTTATGAGCGAGTTCTTGCTGTATTTTGTCTCTGATTTGTCAATCTTTCAGTTCCCTTCAACTTCATCTAACTTCAGTTTGTATTTAAAAGTGGGATGCAGTTGAGAACAAATCCACTGTAATTATTTATGGAGGTGGTGCCATTGTTGCAGTTTGGTTGGCTTCAATTGTTGTTGGTGCAGTCAACTCAGTCCCATTGGTACGTGGTTTTCGAATCATGAAAACTTGCTTTAATTTCCTCTTGATGGATTGTTGGTCTATTTCTTACCTGTTTTTTTTCCCCAAGAAATGATGATTTTTAATTACCATTTGCACGCTCAATAAGTCTCCTTTAATTGTGGCCGCGAATCCCGTACCTCCCATTACTGTGTTGAATGAATATAGAAAGATAATGCAGTATTTCAATTGAACTGAACATGGTGTATTTGTGTTTGGCAGTTACCCAAGATACTTGAGTTGGTAGGGCTGGGATATACAGGATGGTTTGTGTACCGATACCTTCTCTTCAAGGTAATGTTTTGCAGTTCTAAGTCACTACTTGCTCCGAAAGCTATAGTAATTGTTAAAGAGGTTTTCTTAATTAATTTGGAGGGGTCCTTGATGAACTATTCGCCTGATCAATATCTTCCTGTTGGGTGTCCCTTTGAACTGCAGTCAAGTAGAAAAGAGTTGGCATCGGATATCGAAGCTTTGAAGAAGAAAATTGCTGGAACCGAATAAAATCCAGGAGGGTATGATAGTGTGGAGAAAGGCCCTTCCTACCTATAGCCTAACATTTGGTCTCGGTAACCGAATCGGAATTGGCTCGAAATTTGTTCTATAAAGTTTTTTGGGCTTCTATGTGTGAGGCAGTTTGTTGTAAGTTGTAACCAATATAGGATTAGATATATACATACATTTGATGTATCTTAACTCCTGCTTCTCTCTTGTTGAAATAAAATCCCTCTGTATTCATTTTGAAACTTTGTCCTCATCAGCTGTGGATGTTTTTTTTGTGTTAAAAGATGAAAAAGACTGCATAAAGTAATGTGTTTTCTGTTATCATTATTGGTTTTGATAAAACGCTGCTTGAAGCTGCTGCTACTACTGCTATAACACCAATATCCACATGGATTCACTAATAATACCATAGGAGAAGACTCAGAGGAGACCTCGCTTCTTCATACGTATGTATGGCGACGGACAGCAAGGAAGATCGGAGCAGCGGTACACATCTTTTTCTTCTTCTTCCTTGGCCCATTGGGCATCAAGCACGTCTTTCCGTTCACAGAACTTGACAAATCTCAGAAGACCCTCGCGCATCCCACGATCGACGAAATACTTGGCTCGAAAGGTATGGATAACATTGGGATTCTGGACAAGACGAGCTTTGAAAGTAATATAGTACAGGTTGTAATCAATCTCAAATTTCCTGGTCACATGTTCTATCACGTCATCATTTTCCATAGTGAACAAATACCCTTCTCCCTGCATACATACAGACGTCAAAGAAAACATTAAACCACCTTCTATGGCTCCTCCTGATTACCATTAGTATGATAATCCTACAAGAGTTCATATAAATCATTGTCCCCTCGTGACTTATGGTTACTATTAGCATGATAATCCTAAAAGAGTATGATCAAACCAAGGGCAAACGTATCTGAAAGCAAGAGCTCCACTGGAGGATTTACCGTTCACTTCAAGCCTGAATTAAAGCAGAGAGGCAAGTACTTCAAAAATGAATGATCATTTACCTACCTCCTTAAAATGGTGCTTGGCGTTATAAGATTGGATGCATTCATCACACATCTCAAGAAATTCTTCGTAGACAGTCTCTCCATTGTCCTCTTTGAAATTCCAAGGCATGAATTTTGCTCCGGCACAAAGTCCCGGATAAATACTCACCTCATAACCCTGACAAGAGAGCATTGTTGATAACATACGAATTGGCTATCAAATCAGGGAAGTGAAATGAAATTGACGCAATTAGTAATTTAAACAAGTAGTAATTACCCGACTGTAGTGGATTTGCTTCTTGTAATCAACCCAGGCAGGGCAATCCTTCCTTTTCACAGCGCCAGTGCACCATGGCTCGAACTCGTGATTCTCCTCCGAATCATACTCCCAATCCAAATCGTAATTCTCATCGATTGCAGATAATAGTTTTGATGATTTGCTCTTGGGTTTACGGGGAGGCGAATTCGTATCATCATCATCATCGTCGTCGTCCCAATTCAAAACCTCCTCCTCCTCCTCCGAGACTTTTCCTTTTCCCGATCCTCCTCCTTCTGATGATAATAGGACTGAAGAAGAAGATGATTTCTCCTCCATTTCAAGCGGAGGAGGTGAACACGATTGTTTCTTCTTCTTATTCTTCTTCTCGATTGCTGGTGAAGATGATTTCTTCTTTTCAGTCCCGTATATGATCCTCCCAGATCGTAACACTTTTCCTGCAGATGAAGGTGATTTCTCCGAATCTGGAGTTGATTTCCCCATCGAGGACGGAGATTTCTTCCATTCATCACCGGGATTCTCCGCAAGCTTCATTGCCGCCGCCCGCTAACAGTCCTCTCTTCTGGACACCCTAATTCGAGATGAGATAGAGGAAGGCTGTGGATAGACGACCCGATTTAGGTCTTGTGGGAAATGGCCAACCCGCTCATACATAAAAAAGCTCTCTAAGGTTCAGTTGATTATCATCAGAAGTACCCTTACTGTTTAAGATATTATCAAAAACACCCGCAAAATTTTTTGAAGGTTTCCAAATTAAGTGATGGTATAATTGAAACACTAATTTATGAGGTTGTGTATTCATTCACCCATAAAAGTTCAAAAATATTTTCTCTGCCACCGGAAGTTGAAAGTTTGTATATTTCTAATTTTTTTTATCCAATTGCATTAAAAAAATCTAACAGTCAACTATACAACCTTGACTTTTATAGAAATGTATTTTTGCCTTTTTTGTTTTCTTTGTTTGCTTTTTAATTACTCCCTCCATTTTAAAATATATGTCGTTTCAGGGTTTGGTGATTTTTTTTTAAATATATGTCATTTTCAAAAATCGAGGCATATTTGATCACTTTTTATGAGAATTATCCTTGTATTGGAAATGAAACAATATTTATATTAAATTTTTATTGGTTTATGAGGGGTTGTATAAAAAATTAATAAGGATGTTTTTTGTATTTTAACTATATTAATTAATGTATTCTTGATTTTGATGAAGGGTATTACTTTTCGCAGTTCAGAAATTACTCACTTATAGTTCGTTTTGGACAATTTTGCACCTGAACTCTTTCTTCTTCTCCAACATACAATAATTACATTTATTATAAATAAATTTAACTAAATTAATTGAACAGTAACACAAAATATAAAACTAATTATACAAAATAATAATGATAACAAATAAAATATAAAAAGAACACAAAAAATTGGAAAAGAAAAAAAAAGAAGAAAATGTAAGGGTGGTCGGCCGTCGGGCCGGCTACCTTTTGAAGGTTGGCCGGTTTACTCACCGGCAACCATGAAGAAGTGGCCACTTCTTCCCGGTCACCGGCCAACCTTCAAATTTAATTTTTTTTAAATTTTTTTGTGTAATTGTTATTATTTTTTATATTTATTTTAATTTTATTTTTTGTGTTATATATTTATTGAATAACATTTTTAATTTAATTGAATTTATTAGGTATAATAAATTTATTTTAATGATTAGTATAGATTAAATGGAAAAATTAGGTATAATAAGTATCTTATTATTATTATTATAATTTATTTGTTATATTCAAATAAAGAATGCACTAAATATTATATTAAAATTATATGATAGATATATTTTGAGTAGGTTTTTGTAATTAGGTATGTCGTATTTAGTTAGTATTAATTTATAAGCTTTAATAATTATTGTTTACGTAAATGAATTATTTATTTTTGTTATATTTTGAGTAAATTAATTACAACTAAATAACACAACGTACACTATTTTCATTCATTATAAATAAATTTAACTAAATTAATTGAACAATAACACAAAATATAAAACTAAAGTAATTATACAAAAAAATAATGACAAAAAAATATAAAAAGAACACAAAAAATTTGAAAAGAAAAAAAAATGAAAAGGTAAGGTCTTTTGAAGCCGGTTTACTCACCGGCCAACCGGGAAGAAGTGACCGACCCAACAAGTGGCTACTTCTTCACGGTTAGCCGGTTTCAAGAGGTGACTAGCCGCCTGGGCAGAAAAAAAAATCAGTTTTTTTTTTTAATTTTTTTGTGTAATTGTTATTATTTTTTTTACATTTACTTTAGTTTTATTTTTTGTGTTATATTTTTGGATTTAATAACATTTTTAATTTTACTGATTTAATAACATTTTTAATATAATTGAATTTATTAGGTATAATTAATTTATTTAATAATTAGTATATATTAAATGGAGAAATTAGGTATAATAAGTTTTTTTATTATTATTATAAATTTATTCGTTGTATTCAAATAAAGAATGCACTAGATATTATATTAAAATTGTATGATAAATATATTTTGAGTAGATTTTTATAATTAGGTAAAGGTTCAGGGGCAAAATTGCCCAAAATAAACTGTAAGTGAGTAATTTGTGAACTGCGAAAAACAATTTAGTCGGAGGAATTCTCTATAAAGACATATAAAAGAAATAGAGGGAGTATTTTATAATTTCAAATCAAATCTTACTTTTCCGTGATTCCTTCTACTTTTGTAAAACAACATACTGTCATTCAAAATGTTTATTAGCGCCGGGTTGTCAATGCAAAATACGGTCATTCAACAAACCTGCGTATGTGTCGCAGGCAAGGATGTTCGGATACATGATAATTGAATTCCGCACTGTCAAAATCCTATTCATCCTGAGTCAGTACTTGCAACCCACTTCGACATTCGTGTCAGAGACGTTATCTCTACTGATGGTGAATGGTGGCTATCTTTGCTCGACCACTTCTTCCCGGCTACTGTGATTCGTCAGATTTTGAGAATTTAGATTAATTTGCAAGCTAAATCTATCGGACAAGCCGGTTTAAAATGGGATAGCTAATGGTATATACGCGGTGAAAACAAGCTATCATCATGCCTGGAATGACAGCTATTCCCCGCCAACAGCTTTTGATGACCTGCAGAAGCAGGTTTGGAAGAAAATCTGGAACGCGAAGGTGCCTCCCAAATACAAGCTTCTGATTTGGAGATCCATGGTCAATGCTTTAGCTACCTATGTCGAATTAGCTAAAAGGGCCGTTCAAATATCCACACTCTGCCCACGTTGTTTTCAATTACAGGAGACATCTTCACATCTTTTCCCTCAATGTGAGTGGCCAGAACGGCTGTCGCGACTCTCTACACTAGGCTTTAATATTGATACGGGTTTACCAATCTCTTTTGAAAGTTGGTTCTTATAGTGGACTTTACAAGCACCAGATGTTCAGTTATTGGCCTTGACTATCCATATCATTTGACACATTTGGAAAGGAAGAAATCAAGTGGTGTGGGAACATAAATCATTGGATCCAAATTTGGTCTGGCAGATGATTTGTGAGGATTTTGAGCTTAGTACACAGATCCTTGACTCTGAAAAACTGATCAAGTGCCAATGAGTTTGATCTTTCTAGGGACCCATCTTACCAAGCCTCTATAATGATTTATGGATCTTATAGTAAGTACATGCAGTTCTGCCTGGAAAATTATATCCAACCAAGGCATTATTTTACAAATTAAGGATACTCGTATTCATGCTTTATCTGCCTTGCAAACTGAAGCAATTGCATTAAAGTCAGCTCTCATGGAGGCTTTAAATTCGGGCATTACATCAGTACAGGTATGCACAGATTGTAGCTTCCTGTCAAACATGAAGCCACCAATACCAGATTTTGTTAAGGTGTCTTATCTGTCCCATATAGTCATCGTGAAGAGAATTGATTCAGTATATAAGTTCCAAATACCACCCCACTCATTGCCAATTGGTTTTGAGATAGGAGTCCAAAGTATTTATATACTTTGACATGGTATCAAAGCGTTCTGGGCCTGTGGTGATGTTCTTGGCCAGAGGTGGCCCGTGGTGATTTTATATTCTCCCACGTGAGCATTGACTCGTGGGCTTATTGTGCACCGATCTAGCGGTATAACCGGCTTTTCTCCCACTTAAGCATTGACTCGTGAGCTTGTTGTAAACCAATCCAGCGTTATAACTGGTTTTCTCCCACTTGAGCATTGACTCGTGAGCTATTCTGTTCTTGTCCTGATCCAAGCCCATTAAGCAAAAAGCTCAAAGACCCATTAAACTTGAGAGAGGGTGTTAAGATGTATTATCTGCCCCCACATTGCTACCGTAAAGAGAAGTGGCTCAGTATATTAGTTCCAAAGGCCACCTCACTCATTTTTAATTGGTTTTGAGATGGGAGTCCAAAATACTTATATACTTTGACAGATTTTTCACGGAAAATCCAAGTACTAATCGGTGAAATTAAATCTTTATTTTAGTCTTTCAATACATGTAATATCAGTAAAGTTGACAGGCATGTGATAGAGGAGATGCATATTGCATAACATTGCTTATGATCACCTTACTCTAATGTAAATTGTGGCAGTTTCAGTAATAAAATCTCTCTCCTTTCGAAAAAAGAAAAATACTGAAAAAGTGTCTTAATGAAAGTGTCTAGAACAACAAGAATTGATGACATTTTCAGTAAAATTCAATAGAAAAATATAATCTAAGATTTTTGAAAATCAATAAAGAATTTCGTGTATTGAAGAAACTGTATTAATTTCTCGAACTGTCCAGACCAAGATTCGGTTGTATTTATAGTGCAGAAACCAACTTAATATGACCAGTCACCTTATGCTTTTAATATTTACATTTGAATCCTCCTATCTATAGTCAACTAACTAATATACCAGTCAACTTCCAACTTTACTACAATTGACTCCTTTTGAATTTAAACTTTCAATTCCCGCCATATTCATAACTTCTACAAAGTGAATCTTTATGAGAATTCACATGGATTTTGGATAAGATCGCATGTTAATGGTTTTGTCCAAGAGTTTGAACCCTTTGTCTATCTCAATTTGATGTTTCTTTTGTTAACAAAACAATTTATACAAGCGACAACACATGTTGGAAAGCACTAACTTTCATGTTTTGTGATGATTAATTAATTATACATGGCTGGAGGAGTTTGTTTGGGAACTAAGACCAAAACCCTGATTTGGATGAGCAACAACAAGATGCACTGGCACGTGATTGAACATAGAAGCTTTTACCGTGGCTGCTTTTGTCCACCTTCCATATTACGATGTCGAACAGTCAAAGTAACATACACACTCCCATACAATTTGTTGTATTATTTATTTATTTATTTTAACGACCATGACTTTTGAGTTTGTACTAGTTTTAGTACAAAATGTAAAAATCAATATAATTGGATTGGAAGCATTGAAACTCAATTTCAGTACGCATAGCACTCATTGGTGATATATATTATGTTCACAATGGGACAATTAGTTTCAACAATTTGTTCGGTTCTTTTGCTTTCCTTTTTAAGTCAATTATATGGAACCATTGTCTTATATTAGATTGTGTTGAAATAAGCGACGAACTTACTAATTTCCCTCTTCTATAGAATATTAGAATAGAAATATTAGAATAGAAACA